GACTGGCAGCCATTTTCAGAACAGAGTCCCATACTGCCAGAGTTTTTTTAGCATTTTGACTGATTTTTCAAGAGCCACAGAATAGTTTGTGCTATGACTATGTAAACACCGAACACACCAAAAGAAAGAGTAGACTCTCTTCTTTCATCAGGAAAAAAAATTCGGGCTTCATCCTTATGAGATTTTGACTAAATCTTGTCACAGACATTACATTAGGACACCAGGGAACTAGCTTAACTTGTTGAAACAGGGTATGATATGTCTCCTTTAAAAGAAGAGGAGTTTTTTTTTTGCTTCGATCTGAGGAATGGAGAGGTGTGATGTTGAGTTCGTGTTTCTCTCAGAGTGGAAACCCGAGTTTTTACCTCTGAGCGGAGTCCACCAGCTGCTTCCTTTGTTGTTCGGCCACAATAGCAAAAAGGCGCGGCACCACGCTTTTGCTTTCTCTGGTTACGGAGTGGAAAAAACGGCGCGCCCTGCCGGCGCTATGGTAACGGTTCTCCACCTGAAACACAGGAACCAAAACAGCATCACCAGGAAGACAAAGAGCCGCGTGAAAAGAAGGGAAACGTCTCAGCTTACAGGACAAAAAGCCAAAGTTTTTACACGTTTTTTAAACTTTTTGAATTTTTTTTTGCCTTAAATGCAAAATATCAGGCAATTAGCATCACAACGAAAAACAGACAAACGTAAAAAACGAAGAAAATTGGGTCTAATCTGTCACACAAGAGTAGCACTATAAAGGGTGTAGCATATATCTATCTTTTTCTGTACTCTAGAAAAGGGATATTTTAGAATATAAAATAAAAAAGCCATAGTAATAATACTAATATATGGATATAGTATAGGTGTCCAAATTCTGATAAAAACAGGTTCTTTTAGCTGTAATTTGTCACATATTCCATCATGTAAACATGTTTTACTTTCAGTAGCAACTAAGGGATCACGTTTCCCCTGTTTTAGTTGTTTTTTTTAGCTGTTGTTTTTAGCTATTGCTTTTAGTTGTTTTTAGCTGTTGTTTTTAGCTATTGTCTTTAGTTGTTTTTAGTTGTTGTTTTTAGCTGATGTTTATATCTGTTTTTAGCTTTTGTTTTTAGCTGTTTTTAGTTGTTTTTAGCTGTTGTTTACCCTGTTTTAAGCTGTTGTTTGCCTTGTTTTTAGCTGTTGTTTCCCCTGTTTTTAGCTGTTGTTTCCCCTGTTTTTATCTGTTTTTAGCTGATGGGTTTAGTTTCCCCTGTTTTTATCTGTTGTTTCCCCTGTTTTTAGTTGTTTTTAGCTGTTGTTTCCCCTGTTTTTATCTGTTGTTTCCCCCTGTTTTTAGTTGTTTTTAGCTGTTGTTTCCCCTGTTCTTAGTTGTTTTTATCTGTTGTTTCCCCTGTTTTTATCTGTTGTTTCCCCCTGTTTTTAGCTGTTTTTAGCTGTTGTTTTTATCTGTTGTTTCCCCCTGTTTTTAGCTGTTTTTAGCTATTGTTTCCCCTTTTTTTATCAGTTGTTTCCCCTGTTTTTAGCCGTTATTAGCTGTTTTTATCTGTTGTTCCCCTGTTTTAGCTGCTCTTTACCTGGAGGTAGATGCTCTGTTTTAGCTG